CCAGGGACCCCTGCTAGGCGCCCGGTACCCCCCTACACACCCAATCCAGGGACACGTCCCTCAGGCCAGGGGACCCCCCCCCTACACACCACCGCCAGGGACCCCCCAAACAGGAACTCACTACTTCTCCCCTAACCAGAAACTCCCACCCAACACCCTCCCCAGCCAGGGAGCCCCCCCCTTCCCTAACCAGAGACCCCCCCCCACCCCTCCAACCCGCCTCCCGTAGCCCAGGGCTCATCCAGCACCTGCAGCAGCATCTCTGTATGCCGGTGCCCAGGCCGTGCCCCCGCCAGACGTGCCCCGCATCCTCCCTTTGCCCACCCGACCCCTCCGGGCCCCAGCCCTTCCCAGTGCAGTGACCACAGGCGGGTGCAGGCAGAACCCCCTGGACGTGGGGTGAGGTTTCCCGCCCCGGGAGCAAAGGAATCAAGGACCAAAAATATAAACTGCGGGGGGGGGAGAAACAAAAGCCCATGGGGGCGAAAGGGCAGCGCTCTTGGCGCTGAACGTGTGTTACCAGCCGAGCCCGTCTTGTTTCCCTCCAGTGCCCTGCAGAGCAGAACTATGGGGAAGAAAGGGGACCGGGGGGCTAAGGAGAAAGTGGCTGGCGTGATCCTTGAGGAGGAAGGAAAGAACGCGGCGAAAAGGACTGACCAACATGGCGAAGGTGATGACCCCCGATCGCTCTGTGCCCTGGCAAGAACGCCACCCAGGAGGTTCAGTTAACTGGCTGAGTCCGGCAGTGGGTCCTGCTCATATAATGCCAGGAAATCTGGCCCTTAGTCAGGTGACGACCTGGGAGCTGGGCTCTTTTGGAAAAGCTGGCCCTTGCTGACTTTGGCCATGACCCCATAAAGACCTAGGCCGGGGTGGCCAACCTGAGCCTGAGACGGAGCCAGAATTTACCAATGTACATTGCCAAAGAGCCACAGTAATACGTCAGCAGCCCCTCTCAGCTCCCCCCACCGCTCCCAGTGCCTCCCGCCCACCGGCAGTCCCTCCAATCAGCACCTCCCGCTCAGCTGTTTTTTGGGGGGGAGCGAGGGCATGGCAGGCTCAGGGGAGGGGTGGAGTAGGGGCAGAGCCAGGGGTTGGGCAGTGAGCACCCACCAGCACATTGGAAAGTTGGCGCCTGTAGCTCCAGCGCCGGAGTCGGTGGCTATACAAGGAGCCGCAGATTAACTTCTGAAGAGCCGCACGCGGCTCCGGAGCCACAGGTTGGCCACCCCTGGCCTAGGCGATGCTCAAACTGTAGGCATGTGGGTCCTCCCCTTGAAGCTAACTGAATTCCCCTTGCAATGTTCGTCACTTGGCCTGAACTGTTGTGGTGTTGCTGTGTGTTGTTAAAACACGGCCACGCTCCACCCTAGAGGTGGCGGCACGTCCGCGCTGGGTGAAGAGTCTGTGGCCGGAGTAAGATGCTGTTAGCGCAGAAGGTGCTCTAGGAATGGCTGTGGTTTGGGTGGAGTGACTGCTGCCCCGCTCTTTCCCCAGAGGAATATCAGTGCACCGGCATCCTGGAGCAGGATTTCAATGAACTGTGCTCCCGCGCTGGACTCACCAAAATCCCCAAGGTCACAGTTAGGCTGCAGTCTACCTCGAACCTCTTCCCGCCAGGTGAGTGGAGCGGCTTAGTGAGGCAAAGGGGGGGAGTATTGTGAATTCATCTCTGTCTTTGCTGAGCACCAGCTGGAATTCGCTGCAGCTAGGGCTTGTCACAGTCCTGGTCGCACGCCCCCTGCTGGACACTCACCAAGCTGCTGTGTTGGGGGGTGGTCCCCCACTGGGCCCATGTGTCTCGAAGTTTCCCTGGCTCTGGGTAGGCCCCCCTCTGTCCCTTTCTTTGGCCTCTCTGGCACATTTCCTGGGCACAAACTGTCAGTTACCCCTTTACAGAAGCAGGACTCAAGGGTCCAGCTGCCACCGGCTCCCAGAGGACAACTTGGGGGCTAATAAATGTCACACCCTAAAGCCAAGGAGAGGCCATCAACAGCCTGGTACAAACTGGGATGGGAATCAGGCAGCCCCACCTGCTTATCCTCATGGCCTCGTGCCCTGCATGGTGGTGAGCCCTCTGCTCCTTGCAGGGAAGGGGATGGGGACTGAGAGGGGTCCAGTTCTCTCTCCAGCAGGCTGACAGGGCTGGAGATGAGCTAGGAGAGAAGAGGCGGCACTCAGGTGGGCGGTGGAAGGGGTTCTTGTACCAGCAAGGGGCCCCATCCCACATCGCTCTGTGGCTCCCTTTACCCAGCCCTGAAGTCTTTACAAGATTTGAAGGCAGCAGATCTCCCCCCCTCCCCATGAATACCGCTGGGTAAGGGATCCCCAGCTGGCTTAGTGCAGGCAGGCCAGCTCTGTGCCAGCCCCCCTCATGTCAGTTTAGCTAACAGCCAGAGCACAGTATGTTCAAGGCACCCTCTGGGCCTGGCTTATGGCAAGGACACGCTGTGCTCTGGTTATTCTGACAGGCATTTGCCCCTTAGCAACC